CTCAAACCTAAAATTAGTCCTCTTGCCAGGTTAGGAGTTTCTATGATTCCTCTCCTTTGACATTTCTTCTCCATAGCCTGAAATTTACCATCATTCTCTAAGACCACATTTAGGAGGAAACCCAGGAACCCTGCATCCCAGAATGTAAGGCTGAGGGCCATGGCGTGCTACTCCAATTCTAAAAGAGCCCACCTGTGCTCTAAGATCCTGATGAAATGCCCGGCACCCCTGTGGGAACCCAGGTGTATCCATACAGGATAATAAGCCCTAGCAATTGCATATAATAATGGCTTTAGAGACATTACACTGGAAATCCATTCACCTTTGACCATTTCAGCGTTACTTGCATGACTCTGTAGGTGGACGGCGAGTAGCTCACCAAGGCAGTCATAAAGCAGGAAAACATGGATGTCTGTCTGCTGGACTCTCAGGTTACACTTCATGCAGGACTATCTCCTTAACACCAACCAGGAATCCCTTCTCCTGAGACTCGGTAATCACCATGGAGTATCTGCTGCCACTGTCCCTGACCCAACAAATCCAATCTCGTATCATTGAGAGCATTTCCTAGGTGAGGGAAAGAAATGCCCTTTAATGACGTGAAGCATGGTCTAGTTGTCACCATTTTATTGACATGAGATATCTAGTACCCCCACCAAGGCCTTACAAAGAGGAATATTAGAAAACCGTAACACCTTTTTCTCAGCATCCACTCACCTAAGATAAAGGTAGATCTCTACCTGCCAGAAGTAACGGTTTCATTCCCTCAGTTTTCAAACCGTGAAGATTCTTAAAAATTTAGTGACAAGTGCTGAACAGATTATATGTAAGAAGTTAGCTACCCCTGAGGTGTCACTGCTTGTTGTTTGTTTAAACATGACAAGGAGCTTTAAAATATCTTACTGGAAGCCTGAATTCCGTTCACAAGATCTGAATAATCTCTGGCGTTTATAAGCTTCCCGAGCCAAGGGGCACAGACTATGGCTAGTTTGCTCACTTGGGTATTAAGGCCTAGAAAAAGGCTGGCATTCAATTTTTAATAACTTTTTAAAAAAATGTCTTTTTGTCTGACTTTACCCTGGGCTTGCTCCAGAGGAAAACCTGGGTGTTATTTGTAAAGGAAGAAAAATAAGGGAAGAGCTCTTCTTTCTTTTTGCAAAGTAGAGAGCACTGTGAAGGGGACTGCAGTCCAGGGAGTCTGGGGTTAAAATCCTCCACTTCACAAGAAAGTGGTGATTGAGGGTCAACGGCTGGTTTGGCTCAGGAAGCACATTCAAAGCAAGAATCTCCAGTCTCTTCTGACAACAACACTGCATCAGCTCCTGGAAGCTAAAGGGTTTGGGTTTTCACATCTCTGAAACTGTAAGGTTTGGAAGATTCTTGCGGGGTGCGACCACAGAGACAAAGTTGTCCTCAGCTGGTGTTGCTTATGCATGTGTGAGGGGGCCAGTAACGGGCAGGAACTGTTTATCTGATTGTCACCTCGGCTGATTCCCTGCATTGGAAGCAGTGCATTCGATTGGATTTAACCTAGATTTAGATTCGTAGCTGCCACTTAAAAGGTCTAGAGTGATTATAGGATAATGGAATATTGGCTATCATGTATGCAGAAGAGTCTGAAATCAAATTCAGAGAATAAAATTCTGCAAAGTGATTATTCATCCTGAGCAGAATGGCTGCACTTCTGTACTTTGTCATGAAGCAACATTCAGCTACAACAGAGGACCCATGCAGGGAAGAAAGCAGAATTTCGAGAAAGCACACCTCCATCTTTCTCCTTAAGACAGGGGTAAAATTGTTGTTTATCACATGCCTTACAATGTATTATAATGGGCAGAAGTTGCCATATTCTAGACCATTTTATGTATGTGTTAAATCAATAGAGTTTGGTTTGACCAATTTGTGATACAAACAGGTATCATTCAATAGTTTCCAGTTCACTTTCAAAGAAACTGTTTCAATTACATTTGCGACTTTGGATAGGTTACTTTCTCCCTCAGTACCCCAGTCTCCTTACACCTGAACTGTAGGTTAGTAAAAGTAACTACGATAACTCAGAGGTTGGGAATTAAATGAGCTGATATTTGAAAGCACTTGGAACAGTGGCCAGCACATAGTAAGTGCTGTACCAGTGTTTGCTGTTATTATTAATCTTATTACTGCAACATGTACATGAAATTAGAGAAAATAAAATGAGAAAGTTTAACCAAACAGACAACTCAGAAGGAATCCCTTGTCTTTCAATATGTTGTCAAAGGACATAGGTGATCTTGAAAGTGGTAAAACGATCAAGGTCACAAACAAGTTCTGAAGAGCAGAGTGTGGCAGCAGGTGTCTCAGTGACTCTGTGCAAAACGACCTGTGGCCAAAGCAATTCAGAGAATGCTCAGACTCTTTAGATTTCTCAAATTATGAAATCTTAAAATTTGGGTATTGATGGGAACATATTATATGAGTGAATGGATAAATTTATGGTATGCCAATCAGCCAAAAACACTGCATACATTTTATGTAGATTTAACTTTTTCCTTCAAAGCTATTAAATTAATAGTGCAGCTTAGAAATGATCTAAGAGCTGTAATATGTTGAAGATTTTCCAGGTGCCAAGTGCTGGCACTTCACATTTATTCTATCACTCATCCCTACAATAGCTCAAAGCTCATTTTAGAAACAAGGACCCTGGGGATTAGAAAGGTTAATGTAAGTAATGTGTCCAAGGCTACACTTCTAGTCATTGCAGCTGAGATGGGGAGAACATTAAATTCTGTGAGCCCTCATAAAAAACAAATAATATTTGCATTACTATGGCAAGACTCTTTTAGTTGTGAGTGAATGGTTCAGGCAAAGAGATTTAACATGTCGATTTACCTGGGAAGGCCAGGGGTGAGGCTGACTTAAGACATGATTGGATCCAGGGACTCAAACTTGTCATCAGATGCTATCTCTCTCTCTCCCTATTCCTAGGGAAGGTAGCCACGAGCTCCAACCCCCCTCACATTATCCCACTTTAACAACTTCCACAGAAAGATAGGCATCTTTCTCACGTGTCCATACACAAAGTACCAGAGATTATCATCCTTGGACCAATACCTGTTGCTAGGCAGATGTGGTACAACCTGATTGGTCAGTTCTGGGTCATGTGATTCTCTCATCCTGTGGTGCATTATAATATTTCCTAAGATATTTAAGGTCGTGCTGATTATTAAACCATGCAACTATTAACCCAAAATACCTATGCAAATTCTGCAGTCCATTTGAGAAATAAGAGACAACATTCACTATCAGAACTGCTGGCTTTCTTTTCACTTCCTTATCTCTTTAGGTTTTCACCTAAAACTTCCATCTTTTAATCCCAAAATTACCTGGAAGACTGGGTCACCTTTCTGGGATCATAATTTTAATGCTAATTCTTTTGGGGTGAGTACCAAATCCATTTAACCTAAGCTCTGTATTTATTCTAGTCTCTGCATTCATAGCCACAGCTCTGTGGAGGCTATGCATTCAGTTGGTTCCCAAAGTCACCCTGTGGTTGGCCAGCTCTAAGAGTCCCCCAATGTTCCCATCCTCTAGTATTCCAGCCTTTGCATAATACCCACCCTTGGAAACTAAGTTGGACCTAGTGACTTGCTGGTAACAACAGAATATAGTGAAGTGATGAAATATATATTTTTGGATTACAAGGCAACAGGATATATAGAAACTGGGATCAAGTGTCTCAAGGCTGGCTGTCCAAGCTAGCTTAGGGAAGCACAGACTCCCCATGGAACCCAATCACAAATAACCCTGCATTCATTGTCTACCTGAGAGGTTGCTTCTCTAGATGTCAACCTCCACAGTCCCTGCTATCAGACAGAAGGAGGAGGAGGAAGAGACCTCCAGCAGCGATTCTCATCCTGGCTCGAATGAACTAGGGATCCCTCTTTAAGAAGGACTTGAAGGGATGTGAAGAAACAGAGACTCCCAAATCTAACATCCCTCAAGCCCAAACACCCCTCCAAATCAGGTGCACATCGCTAGAAAGATGAGGAAAGTAACAGTCTCTAATGTCCCTGTGCTGCCCTCTATGGTCCAGCACCCCTTTCTCCAATGTAGAATAAGGTCCCAGGGAGCCCACATTGATGAACACTATAAATCTCTCTCTGCTCATCTCCAGAAGAGACCACCACAGCCACCCACTCCTCGGAAGTCCTATTTTCTCTACATGTATTAGTTTAGCTGTGTGTAGAAACCCAAATAACAGTGGTCTAAACAGGAAGAAGTTTTTATGTGTCTCACATGACAGTGAGGCAAGCAGTCCAGGGCTGCAAGGGTGACTGCACCATGAGGTTGTCGAGGCATCCAGGTTCCTATGACCTTCTTTCTCTGCTGTCCCTGGGATATTGTCCTTATTAGCATGACCAAAGGTACCTAAGAGCATGTCCATGGTCCATGAGCAGGGCAGGGAAAGCAGAGAAGGAGGTACAGTTTCCTCCTTTTAAGGACAAAACCTACAACTTTACATCTGCTTCATCTGATTGGCCAGAGCTTAGTCAGACAAACACAACTAGCCTCCAGGGAGGCTGGACAATAAAATAACTTTTTAATCTGGGTGACCCTGTGACTAGATAAAATACTATTACTATGGAACAGAATGACTTATGCTATACTTAGTAAACTTTTAAAAACCAGGAATGACAGAATTCTCATTATCAATATCTTAAACTGAACCAGATTTGTATGTAAAAAAAATAGAACAATCTCAGAATATATTGTTAATTGATAACAAAGATGCAAATAGAATGTGTGGTAAAATACCACCTGATAAAAAAGGAAATCTCTCTCTGATACTGTGAAAACTGGTAACAGTGATTATGTCCAGGGAGGGAATTTGGAAGAATTGTGGATGAGACAGAGGAAGAAATTTACTTTTCACTGTATACCCTTTTAAATTATATGAATTTTTAAAACCTTGTGCATGTATTACTCATTCAAAATAAATTCTGACTTACCAAAGAAAAATCCACATTCATTTAGCAAACATTTATTAGGCAGTTACTAGACAGCAGACTCTCTGCTGGGCTCAGTAAGAGAAACAAGGAATTCACAATGGGGTTGAATAACCTGGCACATGCAACATGTTATAATTAGTGGTTGGGAAACAGCTTCCAGGAGGAATCAAAGTCAAGACTGAGACCTGGGACCTTGGACTAAGGAATAGACTTAATCCAAGTAAGTGGGCAAAGGAAGCCTTTTAGAGAAAGAGCATCACAAACAAAGGCTCAGATGGAGAGAACACGTTGCGAGTGTGGAGGAGTGTTAGCAGATCAGGGTGGAGATTAGAGAACAGCACAGTGACAAAAAGCAGGAGTGAATGGGGACCACGCTCCAGATCTCAAAGGCCATCTCAGCCTGAGGAGAACCTTGGCTTTTAACCTGAGAACATGCAGCACATGGCGGCACTGAAGCCAGGGAGAACCCTAATCAGATCCGCATTTAGGAAGAATCTCTCTGGTTGAAATGTGAGAATGAACGGAGATACATGGAGAAGAAGCGGGGGTGGGCAGGGAAAACCTTTGCAGGAAAAATAGTGAAGATATTAGGATGGAGAAAAAGGCTTGAAAGGACCAGAGTTCTGAGTGTAAAACTCAACTGCTTGTCATGGGAGCAGGAGCGTGTGAAAAATGCAGTGGGAAAGAGAAGGCCCCAGATGGTCAGCATCCCACCTGAAGAAACAAGGGCTTTGGGCCCATAGCTTAAGGAGTAGTTGGCAGGTTCATAAGTTTTTGCGTGATTGGCAGGGAGTTCAATTTAGTGGAGTTCTATAAACACCTATTGAGTGCCAACTATGCACCAGATGTGCCACCCACTGCATAAAGACAATTAAAGTACATCCCTTTGTGACCTAAATGTCTCGTCGTGACGAGGAACTGTGCTAATCTATGGCCTTCCAGGAGCCCCACTAATTTTGTCTCGTCCCTGTGTGGGAAGTTGGGAAGTGAGCTGGGACCTGGAGAGGAAACTTCACCCATTTGGTCCAAAGATTAGTGGGGAGTTTAGTCAGAGAACACTCATTTCCTAATGTAGCTGACTAATCAATACAAGAGAAATAAAATCTCACAGAAATCGCCTGGATGAAGGGGAAGAAACCAACAAAGTGGAATCAGAAGAAGTGACTTTGTGGGATCCTGTATGAAAGCTAGCTGGAAGAAACAGTGGGACCCAGGATTTGCCTGGCAGGATGACACGTGGAAGAAAAACCAATTCAGTTTAGTGATGGTGTTTTCCTAGGGACGTGGGAGGTCTGAAAGTAAAGGGGGAAACATTCCGAGAGGATGCTCTCTCAGGTTCACATAAACTCGAGAGAAACCTTTCCAATGACACTATAATTCTTGTATCCAGAACTGCCTTTGATAAACACAGCTCAGCTCTGCAGATCACGTTGTCTAACACAGGACTCACAGTTACAATGATCTTGTTCAGTGACTGTCTGTCCTGTGCATGAACACATGTAGTGCAGAGGCCTTGCAACCTCTGGTTCCTGCTTTCTCTGACCTGGAACAACCCTGTGCAGATTCTAAGACAGTGCCCAAATATCCCCACATCCTAGTGATCAGTCGCTTGTGGAATCTCCTCCCCTTGAGTGTGAGAGGGACCTGTGACTTGCTTATCACCAACAGAATGTGGCCACAGTGATGGCACTTCCATGATTAGAATCATGTAAGATTGTGACTTATGTCTTGCCAGTCTGTCTACTGTCTTCTCTTCCTGCAGGCTCTGATGAAGCGAAAGACCCACATGGCAAGGAACAGAGGCTGCCAATCTAAAGGTCCACCAGGAACTCCTCTCACTCCTCTTCTCTAGGGCAGCCCTTCCTTTTCCTGAAGACAGACATCCTGCTTTCTCCTCACCAGCATAGACATCAAGTTCTCTTCCGATCATAGTTGTTTTTCTCTCACTCTATCCAGGAGGCCCCAGTAGGGAGCAGCAGGCAGAGGAAGTGCCCATGAGCAGGGATATGACCAGAACTCTCCTCATGTTTTCACCTTGGAGAGCAGATGTTACCAGGGAGGCAGTTGGAAGAAAAGTCAGGGGCAGCAGGATTAGAAGGAGATGAGTGAACCCTTCCGTCTCTCATGTCCTTGTGCGGCTGTGCTTTCGGGCTGTGAAACAAAACAGTGATGAATAAACTTGGCATGGCATTGCTGGTTATTACCCCTTCAGGATAGCCCACCTCACACCCCAAATATAAACACCATTAATTCCATACAGCCCAGATGTGACCCTCCATTCCTGCCACCTCCAGCAAATATAACCATCAGCCAACAGAACCATCTCTCCTGTCACTTCAAACCCCATGGACTCATCTATAGGAAGCGTGAGAAATGCAATAGATTCCTAACCAGTCAGTGCCTGGTAGGGAAAAGGAAGCTGTCAGAGTCCACAGGAGGAGGTGACCCTTAATGCGGCAGGTGAACAGTGGACAGGAGTCAACCTAACAGAGGGGGACCTTGGGCTCAGGAGTCAGACTGTTTCCTTAGAGTCACAGCTTAGCCAAATGAGAGTGAGTTACCTCTCAGTGGCCTCAGTTTCCTTGTCTGAAAATGGGGCTGGGTTCTTATGAGGTTTGAATGATTTAATTCATGCGAGTCTCTTACTATCTTAGGATAATAAGGACTTTTACTAAAGCAGAATCCTGGAAAGGAAGCAGGACCCACCAATTTACCTTCTATTTCCTTCCTCCAAGTGTGATGAGGGCCAATTCTCCAACACTCACTGCCCTGAGCCTCCTCTTACTTGCCTGCAGATGGAGAGCTGCTCTGTCCCTTACAACCTGTGGACTAGGGGTGGGGGAAATGAGGGAAGGGCCAGGGTGGGGCCAAGGATGAGGAGGCCTCAGAGCAACACACACGTACATGAGTGCTTATATACGCATACACCCTCACACAACTCATACGCATACACACGCCCGTATACACTTATACACACACACACATGCACACTCACAGATGAAAAAAATACACAACTCATACACATACACATGCCCGTATACACTTATACACACACACACACATATGTACACTCACAGACGAAAAAAATACCCATACATATTTATATGCACAGGTGAATCTAGACAGACAGACACATACACATGCACATCACACACTCCCTTCAGATTTGGGTCCTGGCTTACTCTCACTTAATCTCTTATAAGAAATTTAAGATCCTGAGGGAGACGGACCTGAGAAAATTTGTCCCACAGAAAGAAACCCACTTCTCAGGCACTCTGGTACTTTCTAGATCTCATGTGCCCTGCTCCCGGCATCCTCCTAGACGAGCAGAGGATCTGACCTTAGATCAAGAGGCTGTCACATACACTGGGCACCTGGGAATTGGGCTCTGGGAGTCCAGCAGCCCACCAGCCTCCCACCTCACCTGCCGCTTCTCAGCCTGCCCTCCCACAGTCAGGGGTCCCTCCCAGACTTTGCGGCACAACAGGTTGTCTGCTCATTGGCTCCAGAAGGAGCAGGGAAAGGAGGTGCTACTCAGCCCCTTGGGGTGAGACACTCTTAGATCAAAATGAGGAAACCCAGATCCTCTTCCTCACCCGAGCTCTTGTCCTGTGACCCGAGTTACTATGAACTCAGCTCCCAGGAGATCCCAGCTGGAAAATCTCACCCCACACCTTGTTGAACTTTAATCTCTGCCTGCTTGAAATTTATTTATTTTCTTCATTGACCCAAATCAAAAATCTCTTTCAGTTTCTATCCAAAGTTCTATTTATCTCGTTCATGAAACTCTCTCTGACCACTGGAATGTCTCGCCTATGAACTTTTGTAAACTATTTTCTCTGCTTCTCATTTGACATTTAAGGAAGTCCCAGTCTTTGACATCACTTGGTGCATCAAAGGGTCCACAAACTGCTCCCAGAAGTATGACTGCCTCCCCATATTAATTGTAAGCTGTCAGGGGACAAACACTAGATTATACTTTTGTAGTTCCCCCCTCCAGCCCCCAAAATATATATGCTAAGCTTATATCCATGACCAGTGAATTGCTGAAATCATGAGTAACGGCAAACAGCCTCCATTCCCCATGTGACCAGACTGGGCAAGTCTTCACTCTCATGTGATAACTTGTGCACACTCGCCTGTCCCACCTGACCCTATGGGAACTGTTGTCAAGAGGCTTCCTGTCCCTGAGGATGGGGGTGAGGTGGTGAGCAGTGCCTCCCTCTGCTTTCTCCCAGGCACCAATCTACTTGATTTTGTGGGTGCTGTTTGTTCAGTCCATGAATCATGGTTTGATTGTAGTATCACTGCATGTTTCTCAGATTTAAGGGGAAAATTTTCATCCAACTTGTAAAGATCTTGGTCTCATCATCAGAGTAACTTGGCTCCTCCATCAATCACTGAATGCAAGACTTTGCCTTCATTTCTTCTCTGTCATAGCAGATGTAGGGTTGGTCATCCACGAAGTCACTGGCAGTAAACGCAGGGACTCCTGTACCTGGCTCAGACACAGCCGAGTAGAAATACTGCAGAGAGTGTGATCCTGAGGTGGGAACCAGAGACAGTGGATCAGAGTCAGTTCTAGTATTCACGAGTGAGTACCCAGTTCACAACGTGCGGGGAATGAGTGTATATGTCTGTGTGTGGGTGGGTGTGAGTGTGTCTAATAGGAGAGAAAGGACACACGACATAAAACAACGGGAAGACACCTGCACAATGACCTCCTGCACAAGTGAATACAAATTCCACACAGAGTATGCACTGAGAGAATTCAAAGAAACAGAAATAAATGTTACTGCCATGCCTCAATAAGAGAAGTTCCATGAAGAAGTCGTTCTTGAATAGGGCTTGGACAAGTGGAGGGATGTGGAGTAGGGGAGAAGTTTTAGTATCTTCTCACCGCTTAGATTGAGGAGTAAGGGAACTGGAAATAGGACCCTCCTCCAGGTCCCTGCTATGATGGTGCAGCATCTCAATCCCTGATGGTTCCTCACTCTCCCCACTAACGTCCTCCTTCACGCACATCACCTTTGGTGTCACTGTGGAAAACCCACTGGCCTCAGAGTCAGGCAGCTCCAACTATGCCACACTCTCTGTTTCCTGGGGAAGTGACTTCCTTCTGTAGGCTCAGCTTCTTTATTTCTAAAATAGGAGGGTCAGCTAGGGCACACACTCCTCCTGTCCTCAGTCTGTTTGACTCCCTCCCTGAATTTGTTCTGCACTGCTTGGCACGCCATGCTGTTGTAGGTGTCCCATATATAAAGTAGAGGAAGACGGGCATGGATGTTAGCTCAGGGCCAGGCTTCCTCAGCAAAAAGAGGAGGACTGGCAGTAGTTAGCTCAGGGCTAGTCTTCCTAAAAAAAAAACACAAATTGGATAATGTGTTTAAATTTTTGTTTCATTTGCTTTTACTTTTGGTTTGCATTTTTCTTTGCATTATGATAGTCCACATCACCTCTTGTTCTTTCTCCCAATATGTTCTCAATCCACAACACCAAAGGTGATGTGCATGAAGGAGGACGTTAGTGGGGAGAGTGAGGGAAGCATCAGGGATTGAGATGCTGCACCATCATAGCAGGGGACCTGGAGGAGGGTCAGCATTAATGCAGGTTCAATATCAATTACTTAGCTGAACTTTTGTCTACAACTCCAGGAAGGGATGGATGTAATGGAACGGTGTCTATTTCAGCTCCTTATGGGAAAGTTTCACATTAGAGTGGGTAAAACTATTGTTTCCTTTCTCTTTTCTGGGGTTCTCCCATCTCTCCCAGGTTAACCACTCCATGTTGCAACAGGTAGAGGATCTCAGGCAAAACCCAGACTGTCCCTCCCACACTTCCTCCCTCCCTTATTCACCATGTGTTGTGTTCAGGATGAATTCTCTTGCTACAGATTTTTGGAGGGGAAAAGGCAGACAGGACTGACTTACATCTCAATCACATATCTATACCTCATACCTGAGGAGACAGGAGAAAAGTGGAGGGGAGGGAACAATTAATATTGCTCAGTGGGCTTGAGAAACGAGACAAAATGATGTCCATTCATTTTTCTCTTACTCAAATAGACTTTTCACCTCAGTTTTCCCTCCAACCATCCAAAGCAACCAACTCTTTTCTTATTATATCACATGAAGGTCCTGGGGGTGGCAGAAGGCTCATGACACTAGCAGGCCTTCAAGCACTGTTAACTGATATGGTTTCCCATATAGCTCCCAAAGGCATCCTGGTAACACTAGAAAAGTGCAGAGAAATAAGTACAATTATTGTGTAAGGCAGTGGGGAGTTGTTTTTTCATTTAAAGTTCTTTTGTTGTTGCTGCTGCTATAATGATGTTGCATTGTGAAGTCAAGCAACAAAAGGAAATCCTCACAATGAGCCAAATTCTGTCTCCCTGAAGCTTCTACAGAATGAACAATTTCTGATGTTTACAGTCAAACAGAATAAGTACAATTCTTGACACAATAGCCCTTGTAACATCTGAAATCTCTATAGTCATAAGCAAAGTATGTTGTATCAAAATAAATGGCTGTTTTGGGGCCAGCCTGATGGTGCAGCGGTTAAGTTTGCATGTTCCACTTCGGCGGCCCAGGGTTCGCCGGTTCAGATTCTGGATGCGGACATGGCACCACTTCGCAAACTATGCTGTGGTAGGCGTCCCATATATAAAGTAGAGGAAGATGGACACGGATGTTAGCTCAGGGCCAGTCTTCCTCAGCAAAAAGAAGAGGATTGGCAGATGTTAGCTGAGGGCTAATCTTCCTCAAATAAATAAACAAATAAACAAACAAATGGCTGTTGTCAGTAGGAAGGTTGGTGTAAATGTCCTAGACCACCATTATCAGAAAAAAGAAGTCCTCTCAAATTACTTTTCGGGCAACTGTATTAATTAATCAACTCATGTAATATTTATTTTGGGTTTGATATCTGCCAGGCACTGGGGATGCAACAAAGAGCAAGTCAAATGTGCTCTGTGGATTTACATACTAAAGAGTTGAGCTGGAAACACAGGCATTTGGAATACAGAGCTAGGATGCCCACCCTAGACTGGGAGCAGCTCACGAGATGACATTTGAACCAAGTCCTGAGGAACAACGGGAGTTGACAAGGGAGGCGTGGTTTATAGAGAGGGAAACAGCTGGGGAGAAGTCCTGGATGTTCGACAGTGTGGCAGGTTCACAGGACCGACCAAGTCCAGGGAAGTTGGAGGCCGCTGCACCACGGCACTGAGGAGTGTAGACCTTGACCTGGACCACCTAGATTCTAGTATTTCCTCCACCACCCACTTAGCTGTGTGACCCCAGACACGTTACTTACCCGCTGTACACTTAGTTTCCTCACCTGTGAAATGGGTGATGTTTTAGGAATGTGGTGAGGATCGGTTGAGTTGATATATGTCAAGTGCTCAGACCAGTGCCTGGCACATAGTTGATGCTCAACCAATGTTTATTCTCACAGCTGGAGAGAAACAAATGAGAGAGAGCAGGGAAGGTGACGATAGAGGCCAGGTCCTGTGAGCCACCCTACTGGCATGCTAAATAGAAAAGCCAAGAGGAGAGTGCCATTTTGAAAAAGGCTAGGCTGGCGCAGTGTGGAAAAGACATTGGAGAGGGTGAGACTGGATCTGCAGGGACCCGTTAGGGACCTACACTAGTAGCATATTTATCCCCCTCCATCCTAAACAACTCCTCTTCCCATCTCATTCTTTTGCACATTCCTAACCTGATGCTCCTTCGGTCACAAAGTTAGTTAAGAAGGAATTGCTGAGCATACCTTGAACAGCAGTCATGGTGACGGGCCAACTATTGGGAACCTCCTGGAAGTGATGACCTGCAGTGTCTGCCTAGAGCACCTGAAGGACCCTGTGAGCATCTTCTGTGGCTGCAGCTTCTGCCAGGCCTGCATCACTGAGTGCTGTGTCACACTCAGATCCACCAAGGGAGCCATGTGCTGTCCATTCTGCAAGAATCCACTTCAAGAGGCAGACATCCGGCCCAATGGATTTTAGCCAGTTTGTTCTCCATCCTCTTAACACTGGAGCCCAGGAGTGAGAATCCAGCAAAGGAAATCGGGTTCTGTGGGCAGCACAAGGAAAGCGACTTTTTCTATTGCCAGGAGGACCAGCACTTCCCGTGTGTGGTTTGCAAAGATTTCATTGAGCACAAATGCCAGTGCTGCAGATGGAGAAGACGCTATGTCTTAAGAGGGGGATAAACCCTTTACTGTCTAGTTTAAATTTGGAACAAACCTTTGGTGGCTTTCTTTATTATTGGCTTTAGCACTATTACAGAAAAATTAACTACTGTATTCTAAACACAATTCTTAATGCAACAATAGCTTTCAATCCTGGATTACATTGGTAAAAATTACTTTCAAATGCATACTACTTCACTTTAAAATTCTCAGGCATTAGAAGGCCTGACTACCTGCACAACATAGAAACATCAGTGTTACTATAAGATTTCACATACCCTCTGGAATCCCCAGGAGATTTCTGGATGTGAAGGAAATATTATTGGACACGACATTGAAAATGGCAACCAAGCCCTGGATAGATAGAGCTTTGGTCTGAGTTGGGCTATACTATCTGGGCAAATAAAAACAGTGTATGATTTCTACAAAAGTGAAATCTGGGAATATTAATCAGCTCCTGTTTTTTGGCTGAAAATGGCAAAATCTAACTCAAGCTTGTCAAAATAGAGATTCACCATCCTATTTAACAAACTAAAAGAAAAGCAGGGATGCAACTGAACCTCAGGTATAACTAGAACCAGGACTCAAATGCAACTATGACTCCCCATCTCTTATTTCCTCTTTTCTCTCTATTGGTTCAATTTTTTTCAGACGCATTTTAGGTACAAACTATAATCATAGTCACTTCTAGGTTCATACCTATGCACTCTAATTTTATATAACCTTCACCTTATGCCCGCTCACATCCTAATTCACTCCCAGTTCCCATTTCTATGTCACTTTCTCCATAAGCCCTTTTGGATCCCCACGGATTTACTTGTGGATCCATCATTAACCTAGCTTGGGATGTTGTGAATCCTTGGAAATAGGGAGATGTTGAGATTAAAAGTGTTGATTCATGAAGAATATCACTGTGCTATTTTCATAGGATCAAATCCAGAGCCACTTAGTGAGTCTGAAGAAAGACAGGGAAGAGATCAAGAAGCAGCAGCAGATGGGAGAAGAGGCATACAGGTTTTAATGGTGGGTGAATTATGGCTTCCTTCTATTAGAGTTTCCCAGCTAAGAGATTCAGGTTAATTTTCAAGAAGATGCCACTAACCTCTTCTAGCCTGAGTCCAGGAAGGATAGGGAGAGGGAAAGGGAGAAGGAGATAAGGTCTCATTCAAAGGAGAATATGCGAGACCCAACATCATGTACTTGGGTAGAAAAATGAAGTCACAGCCACTGGATCAGGAGAACAACAAAAGATCTAAGAAGAAACAAGTTTCCTTAGCTCCCACTTTTGACCTCTGAATCCCACTTTCAGTGTTTTTCCATTATTTCAATTTCCATCTCCTAAATTTCCCACTCACGTAACTACTACCCCAGAAGGATCAGTTTATGCTTTCTAGACTTTGGAAAAAAACTGAGACCTAAGGAAGCAAACAGTGTTCCATGATAAGGCTAGGACTCTGAATGGTGCAGAACCAGTCCTTGGAGTCCAGTTCTCTTTTTGTACGCTACATTTCTACACACTTACTTACAACTTGTTAGATTCTAAGAAACAAATACACAATTCCATCAAGGTCAAACCAACAAGTTACTGGTATTTCTTGATGGGTTACGTCAATTGTGTCTCCAGGATCAGATCATTAATTCTTTTTCTTCTCTAGAACCAGATGCAGGGGCCGGCCCAGTGGCACAGTGGTTAAGTTCGCACATTCCGCTTCAGCAGCCCAGGTTTTGCCAGTTCGGATCCCAGATGTAGACATGGCACTACTTGGCAAGCCATGCTGTGGTAGGCGTCCCACATATAAAGTAGAGGAAGATGGGCATGGATGTTAGCTCAGGGCCAGTCTTCCTCAGCAAAAAGAGGAGGATTGGCAGCAGTTAGCTCAGGACTAATCTTCCTCAAAAAAAAATTTTTTTAAAAGAACCAGAGGCAAACCAAGAAGCAGCAGGTTGTGTCTGAATATAAACAGACTTGAGAGCTCTTCAACGCTCAGGAGCACCTCTTGCTGCCCAAATGGAGGCACTGGAGAAGGAGCTCACCAATAGAAAAGATGAATATGTCACCAAAGTATCCAAGAACTGACCTATCTTGACAGACTGAGAAGTACGGTGAAACAGAGTTCTCACTCAGGAATGAAGAGCCTTAAGGTAAGGACACAAAGGGCTCATCTATATTCCAAACATATTCTTCAAAGAAAACTCTTCAATATTTAGTAGTACTTTTTTTTCAGCATATGCTCTTGATGGTCTGTAAAGTTTTAACATAGGATGTGGAGGTGATAGGATTACAATAATGGTTTGAGCAGGAACTAGACCAGCCTTTGTAACTGGTCACTTTCACAAACAACCAAAAAGGGCACAGGGGTAGGGAAGTGAGCTCTGTGTTTTTGGGGTTTTTTTTTTTTTTTTCCTATAGGATACGAAAAAATCAGACGGAAGGTAAGATTCCCCTGTCCATCCAACACACAAGTCCCCAGTACAATCAAATCAAAATCATCCTTTCCCCAAGTGTTACTGTTGGCACACAGTACCCCTAATACCTGATTTCATCAAAGGCTGTTCTATATGGAGACATGGAGGCAGACATGACTGCATGACTGTTAGAGGAAAAACCCTTTTCCATCTCCATGGTTTCCATGAGGAAGGACTTTTCCTCAGACCACATATAGCCTCTCTCCATCCTTTACTCTGGAACCCAGCGAAGGTGGAGCGCCTTATATAACTAGCAAATTGGGAGAAACTAGCTCAGCATGTCCTTTATTCTTCTTGGGAAAAAACCTACAACAAAGCCTGATTCCTCTCTGAGCCTTCCTGCTGGAAGTTATGGAACATCCTGTCCAGGGAGGACTGTCGTGGGCCAGTGCTGCCATGATGGAGTGGGTGGATGAAACTGATTCTGGGTTTCAGTAGTAAGAAGACATTTGGCTCTTACACTAAGCTATGTCCATCAACTTTGATGTTATTTGTGTTAGAAATGATAATTGGATCTTCCATCTGCCTTATTCATTTCTCAACTTGTTAGAAAAGAGAAAGTTATTTATCAAAGGCCCCTTCACAGATGGCAACAATGATGATTTCTCGGGCCTGAGGATCCTCTGACTCTGAGCGAGTATCTAGGGGTCATCTAGTTACTGTGCTTTCCTTCCCTCCGGTGGACGAGGGTGCAGTTTCCAATCCCCATTGCCGTGTCTCCAGCCCTTGGAAAGAGTCTTTGAAATCACAACTAAGACAGATGTCCTGCGAGAGTCTGAAGCATTTCAAAGGTCAAAAGGGTATTTGCTGTTAGACTCTCGCTCTCATTTCTACCTGATAAAAGCGAAGAATTTCTAATGGAATGTTAGATTACGGGTATATTTTTTTTAATAGCACTGTGGATCTGGTGAAGGAAAACAAAATTTTTTAGACCAGGAATCAAACTCACAAATATATTCTTTGAAGTCAGTAAATGTGTGTAATGATCAAGAACCTACTGAGCATCTCTTGGATGCCAGCATTGTGCTCAGTGCTTTCATTTTTCTCAATATAGTCACACTACTTATTATCCTTCATTTTACTTACAATAAAACTGAGCTTGGAGAAATTATGTGATTCATTCAACACTGCACAATCAGGAGGCAGAGTCAGGATTCAAACCCAGTTTTTCTTCATTTGAAAGATCGTGCTCTCTGCTGCACCACACTCTACAGCTTTTCAAAGTGATCTAACAGCTACAACAAAAATCAGTCGACTTTATGAGCTTACTGAGCAGGAGGTTGCCCCTAATGGGTTCATCTAATGGCAGGGCCAGTTCAAGGCAAGATTTTCTGCCTCTTCTCCCTGTTTTAAGTGAACTGTCGCTCTATGGTGACCAATCCTCCATTTCTTCTTCCAGAGGCCACGTCAGTTGACTTGGAGCAACACCAGGGAACTCTGGGAGCAATTTACGCACCAGGATAAAGCATCCAGGACAGCCCAAGGTGAAGCCTATTCCGGCAGCTAAAGAGAGTTTACACCTACTATTATAAAACAAGAGGTGCCTTTTCCTTCCCACTCTAAATAAGAGACTGGGAAGCTCTTCAGCACCGTCTCCTCCTGCCCACTTTATGGAAGTTTCTTCTACTTCTAGAAGCAGACTGTGGGCACTGGTCATTTTACTGCAGCCACACGACTAGACATTGGAACTGCTGACCATCCCGCTGCAGGGTGTGTGCATGACACACCTGACAGCTTCCTTCTCTGTTCGCTTCTGAGAAAATAACACCAAATAAGGAAGGCGAAGCTACAGAAAGTCATTACTGCCAGAAAATGTTAGGATTTAGAGCTAGTAAAGACATTAAACATCAATCTAAATTTTATAGATGAGGACAAATTAATTTCTGAAGTATTAAGGTCAGTAAGTGGCAGAATGTCAATATAAACCCAAGACTCCTGAGCCCTAGTCCAGTGCACTTTCCACTCTGCCATGAGGAAGGACAAAGCCTGATGACCCCAGGAGGGCTAGAGAGTCATCTTCTTCTCCTTAAAGCTATGAATGACAATATCATTCTGAAAGGTGGGAGCCAACAGCAGAAGGCTTTTGTTTTCTCTACAAACAGTTCAAGTCATTTCACAAAAATGTTACTAAGATAGAGGGAAAATGAGGAACTAATGTTAGATATCAAAAGCGTACCCTAAGTTTCAGGAGTGCTGGGCACTGCAAGTGATAAATAAATTTTTCTCATAACAATGGGGGTGAATTTCAGGACAGATCACCTCGTGAACAGAAGCAGCAAAGCCAGTGAAAGCAATCCAGGGTAAGGCCTGTATGCACACAGCTAAGAGACCTGTTTAGGGTTCACAGTTAACGCAGACAACTCTATTTCCTTCCTGGTGACTTCTCTACAAAATCAATAAACATTTGTGAATTAAA